GATGGAACTAGAATACAGCATAAATGCTTCACCAGCACATCAAGGCCTTTACTCAAAGATCTGAGTCAAATGCAAGCCGGTGAATTAATGTCTCATGTTTAGGTGTTTAATAAGATGCCACCCTTGCTAATGTGGGTCTATAGCTGAGCTGGAGAAATTTGGCATCTTGCCTGAGGTGGCCTCAGAGCACGTAGTCTTATCTCTAATAACGGACCTCAGTATTGCTTAATGAACAAGCCAACACACCTTTTAAGAGAATCGTGTCAATTAAGCTTGAGCCTGCAAATGTTTATGCATTTTCCTTGTGTGCCCTGTTGAAGTGGGCATTCCACTGGGTGGTTCAGAAAAGCTGACTCATTAGTGAGTTCCTTGGGCTGGGGAGTTAGTGGTCATAATGCTCTCAGCATAACAGTAAAGGTGTTACAGGCTAGGCCCGGTGTTGGAAGGAAGCTGTTGGTTATTGTTTGAAAATAGCTGCGGGGAAGGTGTGCACATATGCCAGGAAGCTGTCAGAAGAGTCTTTCTGTGGAGCAGCATCTGTTCTTTCTGACAGTTTGGAAGGTGCTACCACTGTGAGGGCAGCTAGGAATTCAAAAGAATCTCTGGTCAGTTAGAAAACTGCCAGTCTCCTCACAGAAAATTCAAACTATGTGGCTTTTAAACTGTCAGATGTGTCATATTGTTAGGATTGCATCTCTAACTGAATCAAGCTGACTGTCATCCTGCTTTCATTTACAGAGAAATCTGTTTAACTTTTCCAAACAGTAACGGTTTGGAACTGAATTCTAAACAGATTTTTTTTTTTATTTCTTGAAGGTATTTAATGTATTTTTATTGCATTACAAAAACCAATAAGAGCACACAAGACAAATGATTCACAACTGAGTAGGACACATCCTGAAACTATATCCATGTGTTTTAAATCTAAATTCAGCTTTTGCTCAAAACATTTTGTGGAACACTTTTGTACAGTAGGTTTCTAGATTTTATTTTTATTTTACTGGATTCTTCAAATAAACATCAGATTAAGCCAAAAAAAAACTCTGTTTGAGATTTGGAGTCATTCATTTTTGGATTTTTTTAAAGCAATTACAGTACATTCTTTTTGGCTGTTTCTGATGCAAAAGCCAGCCTATTTGAAGTCTTTAGAAGTCGTACAGCTTGGAGCAGACTTGCATAATCTTTGAGGTGATCATTTTTTTACAATCATTTTAAACTGGTTTTATACCTGTTCAGCTTGATACAGAAATGACAGGTGAGAGAAGATGTCAGGCTTTGGTTTATCCCTCATGCTTGTCAAACCACAGCAGACTTTTTGCCAAAGTAGTTTGCCAATCCTTGGAATTATTCTGAATATATATACTGTACAGTGTGTTTGCCTTCTGATCGCCTTCATGGGAGGACAGGTGCTCATTATTGTCCTTCTAGGCTAACAGTAAATGCAGTGACCTATACTGAGAATTTACTGTGTCAGTTTCCCATCATTATTTTGAATTAATTTAAAAAAGGGCAGTGGAACTCATCAGCACCTCTTGTTGATCCAAGCTTTTCATACCATCCCCGGCCGTCCCTGCACACCTCCTTTCTTCTAAGTGAAGACCCCTGCTTATCTGTCTGTACTAGATCCCAACGGATTTCCTGTTTCAGTGACCCTGGAGTGCTTCATGTGGAAAAATCCTAAATCTGCATCATGCAAGGTGGATTTCAGCCATTCCACATGGATTTCCCTAGTGTCATGACAGTGTGTGCTCTGATTGTTGCTTCCACTGCTCAATGCTTTTCCTATAGTTTATGCTAACTATAACTTCCTACAACTATACCTTCCTTGCATTTTCCAAAAGAATAGCTTAACTCTGGGTCATTTAAGGATAAAATACTTTAACCCAGAGGACAATGCCACGAACTTAAACCTTGACAGCTTTTCAAGTGGAAAATAAATAAAGGCTAATGCCAAGGTTACACACAAAAGACTTTCTTAAACTCTTGATTAGAGTTAATGGACAGTTTAACTTTAGGTAATAAAAATTGTTTGTATCATTATTATTTTCAGTATAATGACAACATAATTATTTTTTCATCTCACTCATCTCTTCATACTGTTTATGTCTATATATGCTCCAGTCAGCATATATTAATTGGTACATGATAAAAGGAACATCTTTTCAGTGTCAAAAATGGTATATAGTACTGTAAATATAAACAATTGTGACAATTTTCCATCTAGTACTAGCAGAAAATTTAAAGGAATCTGTCGTTTATCAATTTTAATTTTACCTGCTGTAATTTGCATTTATACACTGATGAAAATGTTTTAACTTGTTTTTAATGTGAAACTGTATTATATCTTCAAATTCAAATTATGAAAAGCAAGCAAACGGCATACATAAAATATTTTTTCAAAATAGAAATAAATCAACAGTTATTAAACCCTGTTATTTATAATATGGAGGGAATTGTGATATGGCCATTAGCTCTGCTGCCACACAACTTGTAATTCAAAGTTTCAAAACCTGGGTTTAACTCAAATCCTGGATGCCTTCTGCATGGGATTTGTAGATCTCCTTCTGTTTGTGACAAGATCCATGATCCAAAGACAGAAAGCTGTGCTGACTAGGTTAATTGGTTTGTCTCAAATGTCCTCATGTTAGTGAGGCATGGATGGATTGGCATCCTTTCTAGGCTGTGGTCCCAACTTCTGCCCTGTAATGAACCGGCGTCCTGTCCGGGGTGTATTCCAGCCTTATGCCCTGTGAGGGACTGGTATCCTGTCTAGAATGTGTTCCCACCTTGTAACCTGTGATGGACTGGCGTCCTGTCCAGGGTTTAGTTCTGCCTTATGCCTCATGTCTACCAAGATATGCTCCAGGTTACTAAGATCCTTACTGCAAAGTAATTCTGATAGTGGACAGGTGTTTTAAATGTACATTATATCTCCTATAAAACACATGTTTAAATATGGGGATGTTGTAGTGTACGTTTTAAGTGTGATTTTCTTTTTGGACTTTCTATTGTGAAACATTCTAATTTGGAAACAGAAAAGAAAAAAAAACTCCAGAAATTCTGTATAAGGTTTGGTATCCAAGGAAACTAAAAACCCTTCATCTCTAACTTGATTGAGAGTTTTCTGGGCTGAGGCTTACCTTCCTACCGGTATATGACCCTTAACCCAAACATGAAGAGGCATCCAGCTTTTAAAAAGATAGAAGAAGCTACTTATAATGGAATAGCTGCCCTAGTTACCCATTGAGAGTATAGGATGAACAGGATCAAACCTTTTTGAAAAAAAAATCTACTAATGGAACCCTTCAGTGGAAATAACAGCAACAGAAAGACATTGGAGCTTGTTGAAAGACCTTTATCTTAAAGGGCAAAAAAAAAAAATAGTTCAGTGGTTAAAATGTACAATTCAAGAGGACATAATAAAACTGAAATATTGGAAGCAACTGTACTGTTTCTGTTAGTTGCTGTGCAAACAAAAAAAGGCAATCATTCAAAGGCGAGACGAACTGTCAATTGTTTGGTTGTTTTTTGCTCAAGATCATTTTCAGTTTTTTTCTGTCTCATTTATACTGTAGAACTCTAAAAGCAAATTAAATCTAAAATGGCAACTATATTGTTGATAAACAGTATTATTTATTGCAGTATTTAAGGGGGAACTGCAATGCTATTTTTATATTTGGGGTTTAACAAATCAGCATTGTTGAGTGCATTTAATTTCACACAACAATAAAAGTAAAATATACACTGTAACCTGTAATACCTCCAATTTACATCACAAAATAGAATACCTTTCCATGTTTGTGCAGCCCCATATTCTGTTATTCAGAGCGAGGTAACAAAACATCAGGTGATGTGAAGAGACCCTATTACAGGTATATGAAGTTTTTAATGAAAGTTTGGGAGGAATGAAGGCAGCCGCGCTCATTTGACACAGCTGCTGCAATTCTCACTAATCCTGACGTAAGCAACCGGTCTCCATAAATATCAAACATCACCCTCTCCTCTTCCTCGTTCGTTTTCTGCATCCCTCCTCCACCCCCTCTCCACCTTTGCAGCTACCCAATTGGTCACATGGGGGTCCTATCCTCCCCGTCCAACGACCGGGAGGTTGGCCCTCAGCCAAGCGGGTTACGCCAAATCTCCACATCCCAATAAACAATTCTAATTTCTCCCAAGCTTTCAGCTGCTGTCATTCCTCGTGAAATTGTAAACAAACAGGCTTATGAATACATCTCTTTTAATCCGATAGAAGTATCGTTGACAAATACTACTTACTTGTTAATGCATGCAGCTTACATTGGAGCATTTCTGTGGTGAAACGTCTGCTGTACAATCTGTACTCTTTCGCTCGTACATGGAATTACATTAGTCATTCCAGTGACTAGTGAGCAGGAAGGGTTGCTTCACATCACAATTCTCATAATCTCTTGCTCTCGCTTATGGCGAGACCAGGTGTTTGTGACAACATGGCAACTTGCAGTACATTCACATAGTTCCCAAAAAGTTTTCAATAACATCAATGAATTTATTTTGTTATTGAGATTTAATCTCAGAAATTGGGACTGTGGTTCTCCTTTAAAATTGTATATAAAGAAACACAACAAATGGACTTTGAATCCTTTCCAGCCTCAAAGATATGTAATGATCTCAGTTCTGTATCTGTCTTTAAAGTATGTCCTGCAGGTTTCTCTTCTAAATTTGATTACTGTTGAATCACAATATAACTGCATTAGATTCAAGGAGAAGTTCTAAAAACAGGTTAAATTCTGTATATTCTTCCTTGCAATATACTGTAGCAGTACTTAAAGGTAAATATTTTGGATCCTTTCTCATCATAACATAAGAGGCTACAAATGAGAGGAAAATATTCTGCCAAGCATCTTTATTTGGTTCAATTTCTAAATATTTGACTGTTTTGTTTGTAATAATCTTAATTCTGTTTTTCCTTCTGTTAGTGTGATTAACTCTGCTGAATAAAACAATCTTTCTGTCTTTTCTAGATCTCCTGCCATGTTACTGCCTTCAATCCTTTTTCACTAGTTCCACTTGAGGCAGGACCGCTGAACAGTGGTACCCACATTCTAACATTTTATGTTGAGGAAATTCTGGAAAAACTGGATCAAGCTTCTCAGGACGGAACCATTGCCCTAAACACATTCCATAGCTTCCGAAAACCGAAAAGAGAGCCTGCCTTTGATAAACCTGCCACTTCACTGAAGAGGAGCAAGACTATTTTCTCTCTTCAGCATGTCAATGGGCACCTGCAAACTTTTGTAAGAGATCACTTGTTCCAGAGTGAAAGGAGCTTGGATCACTTTCCCACAGGAGAGGTTCGATTGGCAAGGCAGGCATCCCAACCAGTCAGCACGAGAGGGAGAAGGCAGCAGCCCAAGAGATTAGTAAATATCAATTTGGCTCGAGATTCAGCCGGTCTGCTATTGTCCGGCCTCTTTCCATGGGGTACCGACAAAGAACTTGATGACTGCTGTGCAAGAGAACTGGGAATCATACCACTGCTGACCTCCAAGCCATTCTGTCTAAAGTCAAAGAACGGCCACATGTCCCTGATCTTACCAGGATGGCACCCAGGAAGACTCGGCCATATTGTAGAGGGCCAGCCTTCAAATTTAATTGCATACAGAGTGGTGGAACTAGGGAAGCAGTATGCAAGCAGCATCACTGCAGAGATTCCACTTCTAGAAGCCTTTGAAGATGCAAAGAAGGATGCATTCAGACTGAAAGTTGTTTCCTATTTACTGTCTGTTGTGTTGGTAGTGGACAGTCTTATGAGGCTTACAAGCCCTCATGGGCAAGACAGGTAGGGACTGTAAATGATTAAATTTCATATCTAAGATCAAACACAACACCAGCTCACACCAAGGCTAGGAAAGTGTTTGTAATTCTTGACACACGCCTGCCGTTCCTGTAGTTTTGATCATGCTTGGCTGAATACATATAGATTGAATATTCATCCTTTTTCCCCTGCTCATTAAAATTAAGGATGCACTGATTATTATATCTAAATATTGTTTTTTTAAAAAACAGCAACACAAAGATGTTTGTAGTTGAATGGTCCGACATTTTTTGAGTTTACAAATCTCTCTATTAATAAATTCATGATTATCTATAGTATTATTAGTTACAGTACTGTACTGTATATTATTATAGTATTACATGCATAAAATGTATCCTGTTTAATGTCTATTTACTGTATACAAATATTTCAGAACAATAGTCTTATTAGCCAATTAATAATATAATTAATGAATATATACAATGAGATAATTAAATAATATACTCAATCATTTTTTCCTGTCTGCGAGTTCACCTTTGCATCACATTGCCAGTCCTGAAAAATCCTATTAATAATATTCTGTGTATGTAGGACAAATGAAACAGAATGCACGTCCTAGTTGTCACTTTCTTTAAAGCTGTAATATGGATTGTGCGATGTTTACTGATAGATATACACAAAACCCAAAAGTGTTGTGTCATAGTCTGAATGTAATGGGTTTAAAATTAGCAATGGTTGTTGCAAACCCATGTATGTTTTAAAGAGCTGAAATATCTTTTCTGGAAAATGTGTATATTAATGTCTGGGTTACATTGAATATACAGTATATTTGGTAAACATTCAGTCTATACAGAGAACATAATTAACAATGCTTGGGATTACACAGTATGCTTTGGTAATAATTACATTGAAGTATTATTTATTTATTTTTACTATTTTACATTAAAGTATATTAAAATACCTTTTTTAGGTGACATTTTGTTATATTTTTCAACTGAAAAGACAATGTAGGTTCTTGTAATTGAAAATAAGTATTATACGTCTGTGAAATAGCATAAAATGAGATTATAACAGATTATAACAGTACATCTGAGTATTTATGTTCAAGTCTTTCCTGTATAACCTTCTTTCACATTGTCTTATGACTCTAAATTCATATTTATTTTTCAGTCAGAGAAATGGACCTGATTTACTAATGGCGAATTACCTGAAACCAGGTAATTCTACCTGTGTGGAGTTTATACACCAGCTGCTGCAGAGTAAGAGAAAAGTAACCTATTAAATAAAATCAAGAGTGTATATTTTAGCTACTTTTTAAGCCTAGTAATAAATTCTAATATACTTTGGAGGGTCCTTCTTTCCTCTAAATATCACTAGAAGGGCAACTTCATTGTGAATTTTCCAATGCCATCTGTTCAAAGTAGCAGCCCAATAGAAGTCTCCCATTTGATCATTAAAACGTCCTTTGTCTGAAGGCATTGCAGAAACCTGATAATAACTGAAGTTGTGGTCTTTTTCACAAGTTCAGTGTCTCATAAATGAATTTAAATTATGCTAATTTGGTACTGTATATTAATTGCAGGGCATCATGCTAACTGATGTGCTTGTTATTCTGTAGCCAGAGAAGCTGCCCAGTACCTTGTTAGAGAGGCATCGTCCTTGGAAAAGCTGGTTACTAGTTGGCAAAACCAATCAGTGGAGGTAAGAAATGATCCATTTTGCCAGCTAGACTATAATGTTTGAAAGCGATGACATACTGTGACAGCTTGAGATTTCACATCAAAATAGAATATGACATGAGCTGCCCTCATGTCAGGGTTTTCCTTTTTGTGTTTTTTACACTCTATCTTGGAAATATTCAGAAAAACAAACATCTATCATAACATATTTTGATACCTTGAAACTATTTCTGGGGCAACATGTTGGCACAGTGGTTAGTATTGCTGGGTTCAATTCCAGACCTAGGGTGCAGTCTTTGAGAAGATTCCCGTGTTCATATGGGTTTCCACTGGGTGCTCCGGTTCTCTCTCATAGTTCAAAGACGTACAGTACTAGTATGTTAATTGGTTTCTGGGAAAATTGACCCTGGTGTGAATGTGTGCATGTCTGTATTTGTGTCTGTGTGTGCCCTGCGATGGACTGGAATTCAATCCAAGCTGTAGCTTGTATATATGAATTATATATTATTATATAATATATGAATAAGTGTTTTAAGCAGAATATACCCAAGAATGGCAAGATTTGAATGATATCAAAGCAATACTCCCCCAGAAAAATCAGTTCAGATGATTTTAGGCCAGGCAAAAAATGTCATACCTTGCTTGTCTAGTGATTAAAACCATGGACAAAGAAGACCTGAGAGGCAATAACAGTAACGATTCCAGTGTAGTTTTGCTAGACAAAACAAAGGTAAACTTTACAAGATAACAATTCACCAGTTCTTCTGGATCCACAGGTTTCACCTGCAATGGGTGAGACTGCAAATGAGGCAATTTCCTTTATCACTGTAATTTGAATTTTTAAACCACATTATTTCAGTTTGTACCGTGACTCTCACGCTAGTGAGAACCAGTAATCAGTTGTCAAAAAAAGATATACATTGAGCAAGACTTAGATATAATTACTGTACATGAAGAACCTACTAAGATAACTAAATAACAAAGGTGATTCACTGAAATTGTATCATTCTGGGAAAGGGGTTTAGCCCAAAAGACATTAATTCCTACACTAACAGTTGTCATTGTTATTGAAAAAAATATTTTCACCATTCAATTCTCCCAATTAATGTCTCTTTTTCTGATACCGTCCCTTGAATTAGAGCTAGACTTCTGATTTCACCGTTACATGAAATTTGAGTATGTTAGAAGTTTTGCTTATTCAGTTCAGTTTAATACACTTGCCTTGTGCTTCTTTGACAGGTTCTAGAAGCAGTACAAGCTGTTCTGTTGGCGGAGGTTCAAAGGATTATAAAAACCTTGAGAAAGACATCAATCAGTAGTCAAACACCGACTGTGGCAGACAGTGGAAGTTGTGAGATGCAATTGCCCAAGATTGAGGGCATGGAGCTGCTGGAGTTGCAACACACTCAAAAAATTGCCCCACAGAGTAAGTGCAAAATTTATAGATTTATTTTTCAACAGTTCTAATGGACAAAGGAGAGACAGGGGTGGGGGTGGGGGAGACTTCAATCATTTCTATGAGGAAGTTTACAGTATACCTATCAATGTATACTGTAAATTGAAAGACAAGAAGCAGTGAATACCATATAAAGCTTCAAAAGATAATTAAGCTTACTTTACCTCTGTTTGGAGGAATCACCAATTAGGATAAGTAAAATACATACTGTATAGAGGTTAATTTCCATAAAAGGAGAGTGCTTTATCACAAAGGAAAGCAATCAGTTATTATTAATTTATTTGTTTGATGGTTTTATCCAAAGTGACATTCAGAGGTTTCAGCTATGTGTTAATGTCTAGATTTTGTTTTGATACCAATAGCTACATATTAACAGCTGGGTTTGATTGGTAAAGCCTTTAGCTGAAGGGCACAACAGAAGTATAACCATATGGAATTTAAACATGCAACCCTGTATGTAGGAGTCCAGAGCCCTTATCACTGCTTTCTATTGCCACTCGTTAGTGCATTATCACTGTAATTGAATTTAAAAAGGCTCGGTATTGTTTAAGTTACATGTCTAGACATTTTGCATTGGAAAAGAAAGATTTATGAATGCTTGTCAAAATGTCTTTTAGATTCCCACACAATGAACTTGAGTTTTCAATAGTTGAATCTCTAATTTCAACTGCGAGTTTCATATGACAATCAAAGCATGGACTCTAACATATTCATTTCTACTTGGGCAAAGTAAACATTTAGATTTGTCAATTGTCTGCCTAGTCAAGTTGTATTTTACCAGACTAAACATCATATTGATTCATTACTCTTCACAATGTCAAAAACCAAATCTTTCCTGACATAAAAAGATTCATGCATTGTACAGTTGTGTAAGTTTACTCTATGAATCCAAGCTTTGCAAAGATGGAGGAATTTTCATATATCTAGGTTGAGAATAGTAATATAAGAATTGTAGGTTTTCTCTTGTGTGTCCCAATAGAATCTTTTTAATACTATTTACCCTTTTGTCACATTATAATATGTAGCTGATTCAATATATTGTTGTAGGATTTCAAAAGGATGTTGTTTCCAGTAAGGGAAAACAAATCAATTTATCACTATGGCATGGTGTAAAGTTGGCTTTTATATGTAATTGATCAATTAAGCTTTGATACAGCATTCCTTAATAATGAGGATGAAGTGCTGAAGGAAATCTGAGTGCTACGTATTTCTAAAACTGATTTCATTCCTTCTTCAAGTTATTTTACCATATAATCCCTTAATGCAACAGAAATCAGATTTGATGCGTATTTTTAAACTAAATTAAATTGAACAGGCGCCACCTCTGTCTTCCTTAGACTGTTTGAAAGGATTCTGTTCCACCAGAACACAGTTCAAGGAAGCTGAAGGAATCCTAAAGCACATTATTAATATGAGGAAAATTCAGCTACTTAGGTTCACTGAAATAAAAGGCCAGGACACACATACTATAATATTACGGCATTACTTCTAACAGCATTTACCACTGCTTGCATTAGGCTGCAGTTAAAACTTGTTCGTTCTAATGTTTAATAGAAGGTGCGATTACCGTGTATCACATTGCAACTTAAAGCTATACTTCTCATATAAACTTATCCATAAATCTGTATCATCATTTTTCTATTATATGATTAATTATTCAAATACTGTTCCTTTATGTAAAATAATGTGTGTGATTTTCCCAGTCCCAGTACATTTCCTATGTGCTGTATGTAAAAAGTGTAGCTTCACTGTTGCCACAGAAGAGTTTCCTCTTCCTATTACAGAACATATGTGATTCAGTGACATCTGAAGCCCCATTGTTACTCACAGTTGAAACTGTCAGACTGATTTCTGTCTTTTCTTGCTTTGGACTTGCACTGCTGTCGTAATTAATTGTTGAGACATACTGTAGAGCCATGCTCTATACAGAAAAGTTTGCTAGATCTCTTTTGTTCACAGGACAAGAAGATATAAAAATATAATCAGTTTATTTAGGTTTTTTACATGTAAAAGAAATAAGAAAACAAGTTATTTTTCTAAGCAAACAATTTTGAGAATACCCATAAGTGTTGCTGACTGTAATCTATATTTATATTTTATATTATAATTTATATTATAATGCTCACACCTGAAGAAGGCTCCATGAAACATTGCGTTTTCTTTCTTCTCTTTTCAGCATGGAATAAACCTATTGTTCCTTTGCAGCCTACGCATGCTGATGCAGCTACCCACCTGAACTACTTTATTCTATTCTATTCTATTATATTGTGTCTGTGTCTCTGTCGATGTCTGCCATGCAATGGAGTAGCTTCCCTTCCAGGATGTATCTTGCTTTGCAGTCGTGCTTGCAGGAGTAGGCTCCTGCTCCCCCACAACCCGGTATTTAATACTGTGGTTAAAAAATGGATAGAAATCGAATATGGCAGTGATCTCTCTCTTGACCAATCAACTGTCATGCATGTCAGAAATAGTGACCATGAGGTTAGGTGTATCTGCAGGCTTTTTGTATTCCATCTAAGCATTTTATTACCTACTGTAAATTAGCTTATTATTGCCTTATTTACATCTATTTAACAGCTTTTCCCACCTCTTCAGCACCTGGTATTTTTGACAGGACCAACCTGCAGAGACGCTGAACCTCCAGGACAAAGTTTGCCCATCTCTGAGATAGATAATATTAATTTCCATATATCATGGCAACAGCAGTTTTAAAATGCACCACAAATTAGAGAGAACCATGTTAAGCCACGTAAGGAGCCAAGTTACCATGTAGAAAAGGAATTTAAGCAGAACAGTTGCAGCAGAATAGAAGCAGGTAAGATAAGATTTTAAATAAGCCCACTAGGTGTGAGCTTCAGTAAAGGGAGGTGAGAACTGAGGTGGAGGGAAACATATACTTTTTTTTTCCTGTAGGGGTAAGGATATTACTTCAGTATTCAAAAGACTGGTACAAAACATAACAACATGAAATAATGTTAAAAATCAAAAACCTAAAAGGTATGCCCCCTTTCTGTGCGCTACCCTGGTGGTATTCTATACATTTTTAATAAGGATCAGTACAAGGGCAAGTCCATCTGGAAATGATGTCTTTCATGTCAGTGGATTTTGATTTGACCAGCCCCAGTGGACAGGTCCACCAGAAGAGGCTTGTTCACCTCATCAAGCAGGCTTTGAACATTAAAGAATACGCCCTTGTTAATTATACATTCTAGTCAAAATGCATCACAAAACATAAGAGTACTGTGAATGACACTATTTAAGGATAAAGAACATCAAAAATAATTTTTAATGGGCCACAATGATGCTTTCTTAACTTGTTTTGTAGAATATGATGATGTGAAACAGTGCAACAAAAAGGCCAGAGTGCAAGTTGCCATACAGTACAGCAGTTGTCAATGTGCATTTATAGAATTTAATTACTTGAGTGTGCTAGTGTTTTAATGATCCATTACTAAAAATGGAAGGGAATGAGGGCAGGCCAGAAGTGGTGTTGGGTTAGGAATTTTATTGGCCCTTTTGTCATTTTAGAATTTTTACAGATTTGCATAAAGTTTATGCCCAGTCTTAAACAGCAGCAATGATGATTGCTTGATGTGAACTGACATTCCTATTGAACTAAGACTGCATTTGCAGTACCAGCGTAACATTTTAAAACAAGACGGAGAATCTCATAGTGGAGGAATAGCCACCATCCTGGACACGGAAGACCATTGTTTTCTGTATAGTAGTTCCATTCCACACCATTACAGATTTTTCTTTTGATCTTTTACTTTCTGCAACATTGCATGGCACGAACCTTTCAGCATATTGTCTCCAGCCCATGAGCCACCCATCGGTGTCATTGAGAACATCTGGATATGACGGTGATGAATGCTGATGTCTGACCACTGGTGTTCTACCTGACCAAATCCTCCACCAATCTCAAACACTGCTGGTTACAGGGTGTCAGAGGTTCATGGACCAGGGCTTCTTCCAGGGCTTCTTCTTCTCTTTTTGATGTCATTTATCATCTGGTGCCTGTGCAGGAATTTTAACACCTTTTACATTATGAAGGACCTTGCTCAAGTGAAAAGTTACAGGCCTAGCTTGGTTTAAAAATCGTGATCACCATTGGTATCTGTGACTTCTGCATCTACCACTGCACTTCTTCTTGAGTTTGCAACTGGTTTGGCTTCCAGTCAATAGATGGAACCAAGCTGAGATTAACTGAATAATTGAACGACATGGTAATGCATTGGTCATGTAACAGGACTCAGTGGCGCAGAACATGTTTCAGAAGTGACATCACTCCTTTGAAACCTAGAAAGTGTATTTTTTGTGTCAGAAGATTCAATCTATTATTGGAGCATAGGTCAGCACTGTTCAGTAGTGGTGCTGTGTGTGCCCTGAGCCTACAGGTGGCTGTGACAGACTCCCAGTAATGGCAGAGCGCACAAGTCACACTTCATTTTCAAGCAAGTTAATGCTCTTTAATACCTTATTATGTCATTTCCATCTGGTTGTCTCTTAATTCTAACAAATCTTAACAATCTTCTTTGGTTTCGTAGCATTTTGTAGATATACTGTATAAATCTGTTCTCAGAATTCAAAACATCTGATATTGATTAAATCTTAAGCTTGTGTTTGATGTTCATCCAATATGTGAATTGTACGCTAATGGGTGGGAAGGATATCTGAGTTTGATTTTGATCAAGCAGTTTGTTTTGTTTAGTATTTTAATACGTCTAAAATAAAATTGATTTAAACTTCTCTGAAGCCCAAAACTAGTTGAACGGACTGTTGTGCACTCTATGAATGCACTGTTAAATTAATCAGAGAAGAAATACAGCCAAGCATTAAATCTAAGTCCTTTTTGTTTTGTGATCATAAAAAAAGCTGTAAATATTTATTTTCACTTGAATCTTATCTACATGAGCAGTTATTTACAAATTATTATCTTTATTTTTGTGTACAGAAGTGGCATTTTTTAA